AACCAGCACGTGTGTCGAATCGTCTTCCAGAGCCCTGCGGTAGGGGACTTATTTTACCTGCGTCTACTGTTGCACACAATTCCGGGAAGATCTTTCAACGACCTGCTTCTGGTGCCTCAACCTGATTCCACTCCATTTCAACATGCGACCTTCCATGACGCGGCGAGAGCGAGAGGATTAGTGACTGGTGACGAGGAATACACCATTTGCATGGAAGAAGCAGCATCTTTCCAAGTGGCAAGCCAACTTAGAGCACTATTCGTGACTCTCATCTTAGACGGAGGTTCTGCTCATAAATTATGGTCAGAATTTCAACCTAATTTGATTGAAGATTTTGTCCTCATCGTGACGCAAGAAGAATCGATCCAAGAAGCTCTTCGCGAAATTGACTTGAAGCTTCAATTGCACGGGAAAACCAATGAGCAAGTCAACCTTCCTGCGGCTCAGCACTCAAGGACAGAATACGAAAGAATGAGAGACTCTTTTGACGTTCACACGTGCAAACAATACGTAGAAATTCACGAGCGAAAATCTTACTGCGGAACAGCATCACGTTTACAAGACCGTTATAGACTCTGTCAACAACGGAGAGGGCAAACCGTACATGATTGATGCACCAGCTGGCACAGGAAAGACATCCACGGAGGAATGCCTAGCTGCGAAACTAAGAGGCGATGGAAAAACAGTTTTGACTGTCGCCTCGACTGGAATCAATCGCGGTCCTGCAGCTACCGGGAGGTTGGACAGCCCACTCAATGTTTAAACTCCCTATAGACGAAAGCTTGTCTCCTTCATGCGTCTGTAACATAAACGCCCAAACACAAAGGGCTGAGTTGATACGCCACGCTGATCTCATCATTTGGGACGAACTACCGATGACTCATCGTTACTGCGTTGAGGCTCTAGATAGAACCCTCAAGGACCTCATGCGAAACGACTTACTTTTCGGTGATAAAACCATCCTTTTCTCAGGTGATTGGAGACAGACTGGACCTATCGTAAGGTTTGGATCTCCCACAAACACCGTTGACGCCGCCTTCATTTCCAGCCATCTATGGAACAATATTTGTCGCCTCCGGCTTACCAAATCTCAAAGAGATAAGGACGACCCAGCATACGCCTCTTTTGTCCGAAACGTTGGTGAAGACAAATTGCCATCCACAGCCATGCCTGATGGAACCAACCTTATCCCCCTCAATAACCATTCCACAGATTGCCCTGAACAATTCCAACTGCAATATACGACGGAATTTCATTGAATTAGTACGTTTCGTCTACCCTGACATGTCCGAGGACGTAACCACATGGCGCGACCTTGCCATCTTAGCCACTACAAACAACGCTATTGATCGATCAAACAAACCAAATCATATCTATCTGACGAACGTCCGGGACGTTCTGCATCGTTTTACAGCTCAGATTCCCTCATCAAGGACGCAAACTCTGCACCCACAGCTTTTGCTGCGCCTGAACATCTGAATCAACTTAACGTCTCAGGTGTACCTCCTCATGAGCTCAAACTCACGTCGAACGGCCCCGCCATTATTGTTCGAAACCTCAACTTTTCTG